GATATCATCCAAGAGCTTCGCTGTGAATGATGTCCCTTAATCAGCGATGAGATATGACGGGGCGCCATGCCGTAGCACAATTTGATGCATAAAAAACCGGCAACTTCAGCTGTGGTCCCTCGTGGCAATGCCTTCATCTCAGCGTAACGCGTCAAGTAATCTGTTGCGACAATAATCCATTTGTTGCCGGAAGAAGACAAAGGAAACGGGCCTCGGAGGTCCCTTTTCGCTTGATCAAACGGTGTATGGGTGGATCGATCGGTTGTAAATGGCCTGCAGGCTTTAAGAGTGGTGTCTCGCGACGCTAGCATTCACGTCATCCCTTCACGTAGCGTTTGACAAAGGCAGACATTTTAGGCCAGTAGTAGTATTGTCGCACCCTATCTATAGTTCTCGAGTAGCCCAGATGGCCGGATGGGGGCTCGTCATGGCAAGCTAACAAGACGTCGTCGCGGAGGGCTTCAGGCACGACGAGAAGATGCGATCTATCACCAGCACCAGGGTTCTTTTTGTATAAGACGCCATTTCGTAGGCAAAATGATGGCTACGTTCGCGACATCGGACGAGGATTGGGTGCAGTGCCACCTTTTAAGTGATCTATAACCATTCATAGATCGGTGTCATTTTGTTGATGAGACATCAGATCCGGCCCGCTCAGGGTTTCCACGAAGGCGCCCTCTTCTTCTGCGCTTGTACTGGTGGATTGAAGAGGTGCTCATGATAGCGTGTCGGCATCTTCGTGCTTTTTTTCTGACTTGTACATGATGGTGACATCAAATTCCTGTAGGCGCCGCCTCCATCGTGCTAATGTTCCTGAAGGGTCTCGTAGATTGGTCAACCAGCACAAAGCGTGATGATAATTCACCACTTTAAATGATCTTCCGTAGAGATATGGCCGAAACTTTGTAATTGCCCAAATGACCGCGAGATATTCTTTCTCTGATTTAGAAGTTAGATTTTGCGCGAAACAGTGTGCGACTTGCGTAGGCTATTACCCGTTCAATGCCGTCTTGTCGTTGTACCAAAATAGCTCGAAGACCAATATTGCTGGCATCAGTGGGTACTTCTGTGTCAGCATCTTCATCGAAGTGGCCTAGCACGGGAGGGGAACAGAGCCGGTGTGGTAGTTCCGCAAAGGCAGTCTGCTGTTCGTCAGCCTTGACAAATGGTGTGTCATCACGCGCGAGGTGTAATTGTGGCTCCGCAATGTTGGAGAAATTTTCAATAAAGCGCCGGTAATACGCGCACAGACCCAAAAATTATCGAAGACTTTTCTTGTCAGTTGAAGTTGGAAAAGCGGCGACGGCAGCAGTTTTGTCAGGATCAGGCCGAACACCAACGGCGCTCACGACGTGACCAAAAAACTTTAATTCTTCACAGCCGAAATGACATTTCTCAGGCTTGAGTGCGAGATTGGCCGATCCAATGGCTTTGAGCACATTCCGAAGGCAATAAAGATGCTCGTCAAACGTGTCTGAAAACACAACGACGACATCGAGGTAGACGAGACAGCTTTTCCACTTGAGGTCTGCCAGGATGGTGTCAATCATTCGCTGGAATTTGGCTGGAGCAGAACAGAGGACGAAAGGGAGCACTTTGAACTCATAAAGGCCATCCGGCGTTACAAAAGCGGTCTTTTCCTGGTCACGTTCATCGACCTCTATTTGCCAATAACCACTCTTCAAGTCGACGTACGAAAAATACTTCGCACGGCGTAGCCTGTTCAGAGAATCATCTACTCAAGGCGACGGGTACACATCTTTCTTTGTGGCATTGTTCAACTTCCTGTAGTCGACACAAAAGCGAAGCGTGCCATCTTTCTTTTTCACAAGAACGTTGAAGGCTGTATTATGCCATCCTGAAGCACTTCCTTAACCTGCGTTTGAATCACGTGCCGTTTTGTTGGTGAAACACAATAAGGCTGCTGCCGTATGGGATGCGCGTCATCGTAGGTGATAGTACGGTGTCTCGTAATCGGTGTTTGACGTATCTTCGAAGAACGTGCAAAGCATGTGTGGAATTCCAGTAACAGCTCGCTCAAAGGCTGCTTGTTCGCTTCAGAAAGCGTTGGATTGATGTCGACACTGCGGAAAGGCGCTTCAGCAGTGCCGATGGCCTCGGAAGCAAAACACCCGGTGACATTGGCGACTGGGTCGGCGTAGGCGATGACTGTTCCAGGAAAAATGTGCCGCTGCTCGTAGCTGAAGTTTGTGACAAAAACGACGCAGTGATCATCACGAAGGTCGACAAGTCCTCGCTACGCAGACAGCCTGAGACAGCAGAAGCGAGTGATTGCTTTCCACGACAGCTTCACCGTGAATCACTCCATGCCACGCCACCTGAACCACAACAGTCGCGCGGGGTGGTAACGTGACAGCGTCATCGATGACATGAAGAGACACTCAAGAGTGGCTGGGGTCAGCGTAAGCTGTTGTGGAATTTGTGGTCGCGAAAGTGACTAGACGTCGTCAAATGTCAATTATAGCACCATGCTCCCTGAGAAAATCCATGTCAATGATTAAGGTCTCGAGCGCACTGTTGGAGAATGCTAAACTTGGCAACAAACGTACAACCACGGAATTGCAATCTTGCCATGCACATACCAAGTGGCGTGATGATATGCTCGCCAGCTGTACGAATTGGCGTTCGGTTCCAAGGGGTCATTACTTTCTTCAGAAGGGCGGCCAGTTTTTCGCTAATTAAGGAATAGTCCGCAGTGTCCACTAAAGCGCTGACTTCGCGACCATCTAGCAGAACAGGAATATCTAAGGAAATTCTTCCGCAATCACCCGGTGATGTCGTTTTCATTGTATCGTCGGTACCTTCAGTCAACATCAATAGGGGGCCTTGAGCATGACCACTCTGAGTGGCCTTGCCCCCGAAGGTCGCTGTGGCTAGTATTCTCGACGCGGGCTAGGTGACCGGCCCTGCACCACGCCCGAATAGGTGCGATGATTCGGTGAGAACCGCCGTGGTGATGGAGAACGTGAGTGGTGCCGAGATCTCGATCAGCGCTGCTGGGCAACGTAGTCTGCAATTTCCGGAGGCCGCTGGCCGAACCTAGGAGGTGGGGAGTTGGCCGTAAAACCACGAAGTCCCTGCTCTCGATAAGTGCATTGTCGGTAGATGTGCCCAGGTTCGCCACAGTGATAGCAAAAAGGACGTCGATCAGGGACCCGCCACACGTCTGATTATCGTGGAATCGGTCGTCGGTCGTTGAGGTACGGGCCCGCTTGGACTGCCTGAAGCATGGCTGGGCCCGTGGTAGGAGGCGGAGTGAAATGCGGTTCAGGTTGGCACAGAGTTTGGTCTGCCGGAAGCATAGCAGGGGCCACGATGGGAGGTGGAGCCAAAGGTGGTGCTGGCTGGAGCAAAGTTTGCACATACGACATGCGAGGGAAGTCATTTAGAGACCGCGGCTCCGTCTGACAGGACGGTTCTCGTAGTGCGTGCTGAACTTCGTCTCGGACGATGCCGAAAAAAAAACTGACAGTGGAAGCCGAGGGTACTGAAAACTTCTGAAGTTCTTCACGGAGAGCAGAGCGTATGAGCTCTCGGAAGAAGTCGACGTGGCCCCCAAGACCGCCCATGTAGTCCGTAGCAGAGGCTAAGTTCACTTGTCGCTCCTGCGTCTATGTCCGTTGCCGAAACTTGCTTTCAATAAGGACGGCTTCAGCAAGCAACTGACGTGGTCTTGGGGGGGGGGGGGGGGGGGGCTGCGTACAAGACTACCGAACAACTGCTCCTTCACTTCACGCGTCAGATACCGCACGTTCTTCTCTTCCGGCATGTGAGGGTCGGCTCGTCGAAAGAGACACCTCATGTCCTCAACATACATTGCTACGCCTTCATTTGGCATCTGCATATGGCACTGGAGTTCACATTCAGCTCGCTCTTGGTGATCGGGGCTTGCATACGTTTCGAGAAGCCGGCGTTTGAAGTCCACCCATGACGTGAACAGACCTGCCCGGTTTTCGTACCAAACACGCGCCCCGTCGTTCAAACTGAAGTAGACATGTCGTAGCTTATTGTGCCATTCCACATGTTTTGAGCGGCAACGAAGTCATAGTGGACTAGCCAATTCTCAAAATCTTCATGGACAGCACCATGAAAGGGATTCGGCGTTCGTGGTTTGAACAGCGCTTAGTGCATCGGCGTTGCGCCTTTCATACCGGCTGGGTTGGAGCCACTTGGGACAGCGCTGCCTGAAATAGTTGGGGCCGTCATCCTCTCTGAGAGAAGTCCGAACTCAGGGTCCAGTCCACGGATCCTTCGGCTAGCACGGTGAACAGGCGTAACCACCGGTATGGGGCTGGAGCTTCTTGTACAGGGAGGAGTTTGATGCATATGGTACCCAGCACCTCCACCAGTTGTCACGCGCTAGGAGCTCGGAGAAACGTACAAGGAGACGTGACTGTCAAATTATGAGACACAAAGAAGGACGTCTCCGCTGGCACGGGTTTCTCGTCTTCGTCCTCTATGTTCACTGGCACATAACTGGCTCACTGTTCGCTTGCACATAACACCAGGTGGCAATATAAGTGGTGGCAGTCCCCAGTCCATGCACCGAGTTGACTGATTGGGACTCCTTGGAATACGCATCATTATCGCGGAGGCTTGCGTTTAAACTACTCCATACCAGCAAAATTTGCTTAGGCCAAGCATGGTAAATCATCAGTGGCCAAGCTGTCCATGCTTGGAAAGTTATTGGAGGCCAAGAGAAGAATGTGCTTGGGAACTGTGACAAGCCTACCATTTGTCAAGCAAAGAAAGTCCGTGCTTAGAAAATTATTTGAAACGCCCCTATTCGTGGTTGGCACTGTCTTGGAACACCATGCAATAGCCAAGCATGATCTTGGCATGAGAGCCAAGCATTTCGGCCAATGCAATTTCTGGCTCATTTGAATTTTTTGTCTTGTCTACAATTTCATGCCCTGGCTACTTCTTCTAGACTTTTCATGCCCCCCTCCTCCCACCCACGACAAGTCACAAGACAAATGTTTTAGTGCTTCAGGTTTATTTTACACGTAATATATAGAAGGCAATATGCCACTTTTCCATTTCGCGAACTCTTTGGATTCTGAAGCGTTGCTTGGGCTTCTCTTGAAGTCATCTATCGTAGCGGCATGCCTTCTCACATAGCTGCATATTCTTGATCTGAAGCAAACACGAGCCATCCTTTTGTTACGTGCAAAACAGCTGCGTCAGTTTTGATGAACAGGGTATGGCTTATCTAAAAATAAAAAAACATCAGGAGGTACTCTTCGTTAATAAGCCATCTCTTAGGCCACCGTTTTCGCCAATTTAAAACAAAACACACAGTAGGAACACTTGTTGGGAAACAAATTGGTTATGCATGATCATGAGGATGACAGAACCTGCACAGACGGGAAAAAAATACTTGGTGGACTGCATGATGCAGCTTTATTACTAAAGTAGTGAGCAGTCATGAGAGATCTCCATCAGTACGAAAAAATGAAGACAAACAATTTTTTTAAAAATTCCTTTGTCCTTTCACATTTCAGAACATATATTCTCTTAATGAAAAAAGACAAATTTTTAACTGATAGCATTTTGGAAGCAGAATTGGCGCAGAAGCACTGTTTATGGGTTCCCTTTTTTCTTGTAAGTACGTACCTTATATTTATAAATATTACTGAGGTAGTCAATGCACCTTTATTTACAAATGTTGTTTTTGTCGTGTAGCTTCTGTTGTCAATGCTTTATTTTATTTCAATGCTCATTATTAAGCTGTCCTTCCGCTTAGTCATGAGGCTGACTGTTTAACCTATGAAATTAGTTGCGTGCTCTGGCTCCAACAAATCAGCAAGCTGATAGAACAAGAAATAGGATTATATAACATTTAGGTTGTGAATATGGTGGCAGTGAAATTGTTTGAATGCTCAATCTTGCTTCAGATGGCAGAAGTTGCCATTTTTTCTAGAGGGCAGCATATATGAACTGAAAAAAATTGTATTAGTAGGTCAAGTTTTCATCAGTGATGCAGTTTGCAATATTCTGATCCCAGTGAAACAGATTCTAAAGAACAGCAACCAAAATATTACAGCATGAAGAAGTCTATTTAACAAAAAGTCATAAGGATGTTGCCAATAAAACGCGAAGCAAAACCAAATTATTTGTTTTCTGTTGATGCTCACCAAGCAAAAGCAGCAGCACATTTGCAGGTTTTTCAATGAAAAACTGTTCTCAGGGGCCCAGCTGTACTTCTCTGTAACCACATTAGTAAATTATGACGGAGCTTTCTGTGCACAGCGTATTCAGCACTGCTGACATTTTCTAGGAAAAATACCTGACCTGTGAAAAAAAAGCAATACAATAATTATAAAGTTGATAATTGTAACACATGTTTAGAAGCATTTAAAAAGTCTACTATATGCAATGGTTGTTGTGCCAACAGAATGATAACTTTGCCATAACAAAACAGCATCCATTCATCAAAATATTCATTGCACATTCTACGAAGTACATGTAGGACTGGGAAAAATATGCCTTCATTGTAGAAAATTGTCATTAAAATTCACAGAGCTCAGTAAGTATTTAGGCCTGTATATTTCTTGTAAGCAGCAATTTTTGGTGCAAATGTCATAAAGATTCTGTTGGACAACTGGAAGAACAATGCGTTTTTGTAATTTTTAGTAGTCGAACGATTGGCACTCACTTCATGCAAGAAACTAGAACCAATATACGTAACTAACAATACATTTACCTGATGATAGATTATTTCTGAAGAAAATTCTGAAGATATTTATTACACTAGGAATGGCATCGCTCGCCAAGGTTGCGTATTTATTGACTAACCACAACTCTCACACTGTGCCAACATCTGAAGTGACAACTTTCTCAATATCAATAAATGAAATCCCGAAGTCTCTGCAGCTAAGATTTATCATAACATTTTTTTTTTCAAAAGTAGAGTTCCGCTGAAGTAGACCCAACAATATCGAGGAACCTTATTGCGTCAAAGCAATACGTAAAAGCAAAAAAATAATACAGGCACGGCTGAATTTGGATGGTATATGACCCACGACTTTCTCGCATTCGGCACCAGCCTTTATATCTATTTTACTTTTTAAGCATGAACGCACGCACAAGTTTATAATTTCGAATTAATTAATAAAGCACTGGTATCAACCCTAAATCGCATGGCGCATTAGCGAGGTGCACTCGTCATCAGCGACAGGCAGTCCCGCCAGAAGATAACAGGAAATGGCCGCGCACCACGCGTAAACATACAAAGGCGGCGGCTGGGCGTTTGTCCTTCGGACCAGGTCATTTCACTCAATTTCAAGTTTACCCCGAAAGCAGTTAATCGCTAATTAAAAAATACGCCGAAATGAATCGGTGCTCGAACACTGTATAGAAGAACGTTTTGAATATGTCTGGTTTTTACTTGTAACAAGAGACTGTAACTACGCCATGTGCAATCTCGCCGAGACGAGCTAGGACTACAGGTAAGACTACGCAGCGCCCGATTCTTAACACATGCGCTTTTTTCGCCCCGTAAACCTGACCATCAATTAGCAGATGGCACTTAAGAGAACAAAGACAAATACAAGTGCTGCTGATATTTACTCACCTCCTATTTCCACTTGAATAAACAGCTCGTCGCTTCACGGCTGTGATGACCGTGACATCCATCTAACGTGCGAACGAGGTGAAGACGGCGCGCAGTCATACACGTAACACGCTGTGGAATAGGAAAGCGAGCATAAACGGTGCATGCGTTTACATTGGTCTACAGCTAATTGAATTGCAATATTTTGGTGACTTTTGTACTATTACATAAGCGCTTCACAGCCATTCTAGTTTGTGGGCTTCTGAAAATTGCCTGTCTGGATGCTTTAGTGAACTATTTTTCTTAGGCGCAGTAGGGCTGCGCATGGGCCAAACGGTGCGCGCGCGGTAAAAAATGTGCAGTTTAAACGCCACACTGTGCACTTGCTGGTAATCTTCGGTCCCTTGGTGAAAAAAAGAGGTATCCTGTAGAGATGCCAGTGCTAACTCAAATAATCACTGGAACGAATGAGCGACCATGGCCATTTGGTCTATATCTGTTCATGACTTCACGACAAAGTGACTAAAGAAACGGACACATTCGCTTTAACCGCTTTGCTGTTTTGCCACTTATACGTGCTCGCATCCCACAAATTTCTGTGGAATAGTATATAATACACAAAAGTAAGTAATATTGATGAACAAGCTTATTCTGTGAGCATTGGCCACCAACCACCGTGTGTGTCAAGAAAGCCCTTGGCCTCCATGATAAATATCACACGTATTTTTCAAAACTTTTGTTTCGTTTCAAATATTGAGAAGGACACACAACTAAAAGAAACGCACACTTCAAAAATATTTGAGGCTTTGACTACCATCTCACCCATATTTTGCTTGTAGGCCATGCCCTTTTATGTCACGCTGTCCGGGCAATTTGGTATTGGCCACTGACAACGGAAGCCGATGGGAATCTAAGCCATTTCCAATCATCGGTCATCGGCCACTGCTAGTAAGGCTCGTGCCGTGGGTGCAAACTATCTAAAACAATTTAGTAGAAGTTTTTCAAAGATGCTGGTGCGGCCATGGCGCTCGAGGGCCTAAAATTGAGCGAGCCCAGCTCTTGCAGCAAAGCAATAAAAACAAATATACGTAACTCTGTTGTTATGAACTACAGTTGGGGCTCTGACGTGGGCTCTACAGCAATTTATAATATATCATGCAGTGAATCATCGCCTGTATGCTTTGGAAAGCTACAGTTGTTCAGACTTTGTTTACGCGTTAACGCAAACGCCGTTAACTACTTTGCACAACTTGTTTTACTTGCAGTGAAAATTTAAATTGTGCGTAACACATTTCTGGGTTCACAGAGAAATTCCGCGGCGAGTCGTGTTTCTGTATATTCTTTATTCATTCTTTATTCAATGATTACCCCGCTTAGCCCGATGGCGCTGCAGCAGGGGGTTTACAATGTCGAGAAAAACACATCTTTATTAATACAGCACACTTGTTCATTTGATCAGTGATTCCATTCTCTATTGGAACGAACAAAAAACGAATTAGCATACAAATTAGATCTGGTACAGTACTCTGAAATTGTGAAACAATGATCATTTCGCGGAGAGATATAATGAGGACTGTGAAGGTACTTTTCTTTTCGAACGCCGGTTTTACCATGAAATATTTGGTACAGGAGCTTTAGCCGCAGTTTCCTTCGACGCGATGAGAGTAATTCCCACCCTAGTTTATTTTTCATATAGGTGCAACTGTCATTTCTTGAGTACCGGCTTAGGACAAACCTTACAGCTCTATTTTGTATTTTTTTCAAGTTTGTAACTTAAAGTACTTTGCCAGGGCTCCCACAAGGCACAGGCGTATTCAAGCATAGGGCGAATGTATGTTGAATACGCCGTTGATTTCAAACATGCCGGCGCTTGTGTCAGGCTGCGCTGTATAAATTTTAGTGACTTGGCGGCCTTCGCAACAAGTGAATCAACGTGTGCATTCCATGAACAGTCGGCTGAAAAAGTTACACCTAAATATTTATAATGCGGTTTTTGTGTTACTATACTATTACAGATTACATACTCTGAAGCTAACTTGGTTTTTTTACGCGTGAAAGTAACATGAATGCATTTATTGGCATTTAATGTCATTTTCCACCTTGAACATCAATCTTGGATGCGCAATAAGTCGCTTTGGAGCAGGGCGACATCACTCTCATTTCTAATTTTTCTGTACAAGACACAGTCATCTGCAAACAACCGTACAGTAGAATCAATTCCTGAGCAAATGTCATTTATAAATATTAAAAATAAAAGTGGCCCTAGGACTGAGCCCTGTGGCACCCCTTAAGTAATTTTTACAAAACTTGATTTTATGCCATTTAATACTACACACTGTTGGCGGCCTGAAAGGTAATTATCTATCCACACCAGAACTTCGCGGTCAATGTTTAGCGCAGCAAGCTTACTTAAAAGAAAAGAGTGCGACACAGTGTCGAAAGCGTTTTGGAAGTCCAGGAAAAGGCAATCGATTTGTCCGATATTGTCTATTTCAGATACTAAATCATGGTTAAATTCAATTAATTGTGTTGTACAACATAAGCCCTTACGAAAACCATGTTGTTGAGACGCCAGCAAGTTGTTTGCTGATAAATGTGCCATTATTTCTTTATACAGAATATGCTCTAATAACTTGCAGGGTATGGACGTAAGTGAAATAGGTCTATAGTTGGTTACGTCTTTCTTGGACCCACTTTTATGAATAGGAACGTATGTGCAATTTTCCAATCGTCTGGGAGGGCACCGGAGGACAAAGACTTTGTGTAAATTACGTGCAGGTAAAGAGAAATTGACTCAGCACACTGCTTTAAGACTCGAGGCGAAATTCCGTCTGGTCCAATTGCCTTATTATCGGTAAGTTTGTTTAGTAATGCCCTAATTACATTCACACTTAACTCTACTGATTGCATTTTCGGCACGGAACTTGTGCATTGCGAAGCACTAGAGCTATATTTCGGCAAGTATAAGGAAAGGAAGTAGTTGTTTAAACAGGTAGCTTTCTCAGTGTCGTCCCCGCAGGGGCGCCTGCGCAAGTAGGCGTTTGGTGTGTAGCGACACCACGGACCCGAGCTAACGGGGGAGTTTCTACTCCCTCCCACGCCTAGCCGTGCGTGGCTTTGCCGTGTCGGGGGAAAAGGGGATCCTGGGGGCTGAGCCTACGCTGGGTGATTGGACCGTTAAGGCCCCCCGGCAGAGGCAACACACCCCTTTGGCCCCGGCTTCACGTAGACGGCACCCCTGGGCTGACCCACCCAGGGGAAATCGGCAGTCGCCTTTTCCTATCTCTCTCTCCCTACATCTTCGTCTTTATCTCTTACTGTTTATCTGTCCTGTCTTCTACTCTCTTCTGTTTACTTTTAAACTTCCTGGCGGCGAGGGTTAACCCTGTGCAAATAGCCTACCTTGGTCTAGGCGCATTGGGTTATAGTTGCGTTGTACGGCTGGCGTCTGCAGGTTTTAGCATCCACAAACTTGTAGCGTCCCCTTGTTGGGCTCCGTGGTGGGTGGCCGCCAACGCTTCTGAAGAAAATTAAACTGGCATGCATAAAGCATTTCCCCTATTAAGTGATCGTACCGCCTTAAAGCATGTACGCACCGAAGACTTAGGCTTTTTCAACCGATCAAGTGAAAACTTCCCCCATTTTCATGTTATACATAGTGAAATAAGCAGCAAGCAAGCCAGAACCGTATCACCCTTTGTAGTAGCCAGATGTCTCACAGAAACTCTTGGAGCCGGGTACAAAGTTACCAAAATGGCCAGCGGAGACCTCCTCCTTGAAGTCCGAGGAAAAGAACAGTTCGAAAAGCTACAGAATCTTTCAACTTTTGGTGACACTCCCATCACTGTAACGCCATACAGATTCATGAACACAACCCGTGGAGTAGTATCTGATGCTGATTTGCTCAGCTTGACTGAAGAGGAACTTCTGGAGGGGTGGAAGAGTCAGAATGTGACCAATGCACAAAGGATCACCATTAGAAGAGACAACAAGGCAACACCAACAAAACACCTAATACTCACGTTCGCTTCCAGTAATCTCCCAGAAAGTATTCAAACAGGCTACACAAAGACGTCGATCAGACCATACATACCTAACCCACGTCGTTGTTTTAAATGCCAGAAGTATGGCCATGGCTCACAAAGCTGTCGTGGTCACCAAACTTGTGCACAATGTGGAGTGTCAGGCCACAATTCTGACAATTGCGAAGAACCATCACACTGTGTGAACTGTGGTGGAAATCATGCCGCATACTCACGGTGTTGCTCATTTTGGAAAAAAGAAAAGGAAATCATCACATTGAAAATTAAAGAAAATATCACATTCAAGGAAGCAAGACGAAGAGTGTCGCCATTTTATGGCGCTACATATGCTGATGCGGCGCGTCAGGGGGCAACGCCGCACCAGCCCTCGCCACTCCTTCGGCCAGCGCAGAGCGAGCCGACGGCTGTGGCACCTGCCCCCAAGGCGGCAGTAGTTCAGGCTACTCCGCCTCCTAGCGAATTGAGGCCGGAGACTCCAGGGTCCTCTGGTCTCAAGGCCTCCCCTCACCAGGCGAGGCCTAAAATCCGAACCACGAGCTCGCATGTGCGGGCACCCAGTGCCTCTGAGGAGGCAATGGATACAACGGTACCCTTGGTACCAAAAGAGCGGGGCGCCTCCTTGGAGCGCGCCAAGAAAAATAAAAAACCAATAACGGGGCCGGACAACCGTCCTGCCACCTGAATAATTGACCTCACTCCAACACAGGATACTCTTTGTACACACAGCAGCATCTCTATTGTTTAAATATGCAGACAGAAATATTACAGTGGAACATGATTGCTTTATTTGCTTCGTCACAGTACAGTGTAACAGGAGGCGGAGGGAAAAGCCGTAATGACGGCTTGAGGGATCATCCGCCCCCTTTGTGAACAATGGCAGCAGATGAAGGACATCACAATATCATACACTTTCACATTGTTTTACGTAAAGATCATGCCACAAAGGAAGGAAACCTGAAAACGTAGTTGATACATAGCTTACACAACAAAGAAACTTGCAGCAATCTTCTGCACCTGAATAAATACATAGTTTATAGAACATATAACATAGTTTGC